TCAGTTCGGAACTTGATTCCCGGAATGAAGTGCAGCCAAAGAGGGAAACCACTATTAAGAAATGAAATCCCTCAATTAGGCACGAACACCCCCAGAAAATATAACACAAAAAGGACCAAACTTTACCCATAGTTCCATTCAGCACACACGTATGGACCAATGCGGAGATGCACATAGAGACCCGCCGCTGCCACTGTCTTCACAAATTTCACCAAGTCCTTCCTCCCATCAAAGTCATACTGCCAATTTTTTCTTGTTAGTCTTTTCATTCAAAACCACACACAAAGAAACTGTTCAACATTTCATACTTCATCAAATGCAATGCTGAAAGTGAAAGCCATAGGAGGATACAAAATTAAATAAAATAAAAAGTGGAAAGAGAACAATCATAACCTGTCCTCGAACTGGTTCGTGTATGTTCCAGAAAACATAAGTCTCAATCACATCCAATCCTCCATCTTTGGATTTTTGAATAAGGTCTGGCCACATCTGCAACATTTCCCTTATTTGAGTTCAAAAACCATACACAAACAAGCAAACAGAGAGGGAGAGAAAAACCTCTGGAGTACTACGAGGGTAATGAATAGAACCGGAGATCAAGACCCTGCGTTTGCCATCAATGACTAATGCTCTATGATCGTACTGCACGTTGGCACTGAACAACGTGGGAGTGTGAATGCATAGAAACCAAAACAGAACCAACACAATATGCGTCGCTCTCATATTTTGTTGTGTAGATTTGCCACAACGGAGAGAAAGGAGCAAACCCACAAGGAAAGGAAGATGCTTTATCTAAACCAAAATGGCAACAAATAATGGGGTTGCCTGGTTTGTTAACACAATGCAAGGCGATCTTGCTTTGCTTGATATGTTACTTGTGTCGTGTCTCACATGCGTGTAAAATGCAAATGCTAACGATGTTGCTTTGCAGAAGATATAAATGGGAAATAAAAGTGGTTGAAGCGAAAGAGATCATAAAACTTGGAGAGAGGGAAGGGAATCAAACGGGAGAAGAAGTAGAGTGAAGAGTTGAGCTAACAAGCTATGTATGTACATTTATGATTTGTTTGTTATTTATCATTTATTTTGCTGTGAGAAAAGGACACTACAGGTGTCAGATGTGTGTGTCAACCAAGAAAAAAGAGGTTGTGTCGGTGAGATTGTCGTGTGGTCTGTCTGCGAGTCAATGGTGAAGGGTGGAGCATAGGAACAATGGCGGTCAAAAATGGATAGTGAAAAAGGAAAGTGGATGTGGTAGCATAGGGAGAAACAATAAATGATGGATTTTATTTATGACTTTGTTAGGACAATAATGTGAGGCCATATAAGAGATTAGATATTGCTTATATTAAGATTTGCTACAAAAGCTAAAGGGAATGGTGTAGGTAGGGGACACACAAACACAGGACATAGAAGCTGTAACCACAAATAACCAACCCATTTCAGATAATATTTATTCACCTTAGTATTTTTGTTCATTTTACTGTATCTGGATTCAGTTGCATTGCATGATGCTGTGTTTTGTTTGTCCTTATGTTTATTTTCCTCAAACAAAAATTGTCTGTAACACAACACTGTTGCATGTCACATGTTCATATCTAGTGAAAGCATCTCTTCTTAACTTCCACATATGTTTCAGAAAGAACGTGTGTGAGAAATAGTTTGTATAAAACTTATAATTGTATTTGATAAAAGAAAATGTTCCTTTGATTTGCTGCAAATATATTTTTCTTTCTCTCACAAAATCAAATCATATTATTTTGTTCTGCATTTCATAGTTTAAGAAAAAAAAAAGTTGTATATAAACTAATTTTGATAAGAGTTGTGAAAATAATTCAAGAATTCAATCTCATTTTTCCTACTACTATATCACGCATCGTCATGACGGGGGAAAAAAATTTGTGATACGAAATAGACGTGAGCACCAAAGAATCATGCCATTAAGTTGGAATAAATAAATAGCAGATTTCAAAGGTTGTTGATCACATACTTCAACTTCATTCATCTACTCGCACCTAAATCACAAACATCTCTCTTTTTCTTTCCCTTTTCTGAATCTTATGAAATATTTTAATTTGCAATCATGAGTATTTCCTAAGCAGCACACCCACCATTCAAATATTATTATTATTAGGGTTCATACACACTCCAGTTTATCACCTAATTAAATTCAATCGATCAGATCCGATTTTTAAATTTATAGAATTTAATGTCTTCATTTATAAATATAATATATGAGGATCTTGATCTTTCTCTGTGATTATCTCAGATTTTGCTACTCAAACAAAAAGTTGATGATATGATGATGCATTGATAAAGAGAAATTAATTTAGTGTAGTTAAAAGTAAAAATACTTATTTGTTACTATTGTTAATTTATTTTATTTTTAATATATTTTATATTTTTAACTAAATTATCTATTTAAATTAATTTTTCAATTATAATATTTTCGTATTTATACAATGAAGGACTTTAATTGTGGGAAACCTACTACAAAGCTAGTCAATTTTACATATATGAAAACTCTATTAACATAATTTTTACTTTTTAAAAAATGTTATGCCATAACAAAACTATTTAATATTTAAGAAATTAAAAAATAAAATAAGAAAAGAAAGAAATTATAATTTTTATCTGGTTTCATACCAGTTGAAGAAAGAAGTGTTTTAAAAAAAATATCTTTACTATTTTCCTTCTTCCTAATCATTATTTTCTGTTTCCTTCCATTTCATTTTCATGCAAATAAATTGACATGAAAAGTCTGCATTTCCAAATGCATCTTCTTGACTTCAATGTTATTCATTAAAGATGAAACTCATTTCTTCAACAACCATCCAATTGTAGCAGTTGTCATTTTCCTTCTTTAATTTCACATATTTTATTTTAGCATGACTGTATATTATAAATAGAGTGTTAAAAAATCATATTATTTAAATTAAAAATCATATTGGTCGAAACTGATTTTTTTTTAATTTTATTTATTAGATTAAAAAGGTTTAAAATGATTCAATTTTTAGCAGAAAATAAATTAAATTAAAATTATAATATATTATTAAATCTTAAAATATTAATTTAAATTATTTTTTAAAATAAAAATTAAATTAAATTAAACCGCATTTAAATTTTATATTACCTTACTTTTTAACACAAAACGAAGCCAAAAATACCCTAGTTACAACTGTGCCTTGAGTTTGCTTCTGATGAAAGTTGTATTTACAGCACAGAAGCTGCAAATCTGAAACATGATATTGTGTTCTATGGAGCACCCAAAGTTTGTTCCCTACGAAATAACCACAACAAACTCATTTTAGTTTCAGAAGATTTTATTTAATCTAGAAATATCTCAGAGCAGTTCTATTAATTCTTTTTGTCTAATTGTCTGGGACCCATATTTTTGTCCACCAATTGAAGTTGATGGAATTCTTTCTTTGCTTTATTTCTTTTAAGTAATTCATGGTGTAAGGATTAAGCAAGTGAAGCAGGCATGTCACATGACAAAACTCTTTGGTTTTCTGGTTTGATTCCTCAAAGAAATGATGGTTCTCTGCTCTGTAAAATATTCATTTTCATTGCTGTGATTGCAACATTCTGATATTCATTTTCAGCAACTGTATTAGGCCTTGATTACATATTGCATTGGCTGTAATTAGCCCCAAATGCCAACCACAGTTTGAAACCTTAATTTGCTTGTTCAAAAAAATGCATATTCTGAAGAGCCACACTTGAACACACAAGCAGAAGCTTGTGACTGAATCCTGTTTTATATGAACCCCTTTTCCAATTAAAATGGAGTGCACGTGAAGAGTGATCCCTCTTTTCCACCACTCTAGCAAAGTGGGATTGAGATCATTTACTGTTGCTATATAATGACATATGATTCCATTCTGCAGAGATACATTTTTTTTTATCTAACAAATGATATATCCAATAATGACAAGTGCTTACATTACCTGATAAAATTCAGTTTTCTTTTTGTTCTCTCTTTTCAATATTGTTATATAAGATCTAAATTGGCCAACATATCAACTCAAATCAAGCCTATTAAGCTTAGTTTGTAGATATCTGAGCAAGAGAAAGAAAAGGAAAACTCTAGACCTTGATCCTGTTAGAGGGATGTTAAATGTCAATGGTGATTGAAATCTCTGTTTCTTCCTCATACCCCAAAGCAACCATAACTTGAACTGGACATTTCAAGTTAAACAACTAGCTATTACAAGCCCAACTTAATTAAATATCTACTAGTGAATTAATTTCCGTAGTTGAATGGTCAAGATCAAGTCAAAATGAGTGTTTGCTGTGTTAGTTTTAGGTGTCAATGCTAATATCAGTTGCTGATTTAAATATAGGTTGTTCAACCTTTTAAACCACGTTAACCTTGGCCTCACTGGTTTAGGGGATGATGGCCATAATGTCTTAAATATCTATCTATACTTGATCATATGATGCAATAAAAGAGAAACTTACAAAGAAAAGAGGTAATAGAAGCATTGACCATTAACTAGCACTTCCTTTTTTGTACACAGAGGACAATGAGAAAATTTTATCAGCTAAAGCAACGAAGACAATCATATAGATGACCCACAGGCATTGAACACCGAGCAAGTAGCAATGCATCGTAGGTTAAAGGTTACCATCCATGCGAGATTTATCAAGGAACCCAACCCAAATTATCATCAAACTTGGCTAAAAATAAATGAGGGACTTGTTCCTTAAGATATCAGCTAGCACTTGATTCTCTTACCAATTTCTGAACAATTTTCAACTTACAAGCGAACGTTAAGCAATCATGCTCATCTTTTTTTGCCCCCACATCCCCACTTGAGATCCCACTGTTTTTCCTGCCTTCCCAAGCAAAATCCAAGTGGCTACTATCCTACTACAGTGCTATTACCTCTCCATTGACACACACACACCACCTTTCAATAATGTCCAACCTCATACTAACAGCTAAGCTTTGCTAATTGCTAACTAAACGTTCCACCTAATTTCAACTTCATCCTATGAACCCCTCAATAAATTCCACACACCTTCCATCACTCCCACACCAAGGACCACTCTTCCATTCAGCTACTCACACCTCACTCACTGATTCACAAAAGATGGTGATGATGAAGAAACACCCTCTCTTCTCTCTCTCACTTCTCCTAATGGTTCTATGCTACACCACCACCATTTCAGCTCAAACCCCAGCACCATCACCAACCTCAGCCCCCACAGACATCATCAGAATCCTCAAAAAGGCAGGAGGCTTCACCACGCTCATCCGCCTTCTCACCACGACACAGGTCTCAACCCAGATCAACGCCCAACTCCTCAACTCAAACAACGGCTTAACATTGTTTGCACCTAACGACAATGCCTTCCAAAGCCTAAAGCCTGGCTTCCTCAACTCCCTCAACGACCAGCAGAAGAACGAGCTCATCCAATTCCACGTGCTGCCCACGTTTGTTTCCATCTCAAACTTCGATACTCTGAGCAACCCCGTGAGAACACAGGCTGGTGATGACCCTGATAGGTTGGCATTGAACATCACAAGTTCGGGGAACCAAGTGAACTTGACAACGGGTGTTGTTAACACCACAGTTGGTGGCAGTGTGTACTCTGATCACCAGCTTGCGATTTATCAAGTGGACAAGGTACTTCTTCCGAGGGACTTCTTTGTTCCTAAGCCTCCACCACCTGCTCCTGCCCCTGGAAAGGCCAAGGCTTCTTCTGCAAAGAAATCTACGGATGGTCCTGCTTCTGCCGCGGATAATGACTCTGCTGCCATCAGTTTGAAACTCAAGAACGGAATGTGGGTGCCCCTTGCATTTGCAGCAGCACTGTTATCATTGTGACTATGACTGCTACATAAACCACGTTACTTGGGGTCCAATGTTGTTGTGCTTTGTTAATTCTACCTGCTTTCATGGGTTGGGTTGGATTCAGGGGGAATCATGATCTTTTTGTAGCATTTTTCAATGATTTTTTTTTTCTTTTCATTTTCTTTTTCGCTTCTTTTGTATTGATTCAGTCTGTGGTGAGATATGTATTCGATTTTGAAGGTATTTCTTTTTCTTGACTTGTTCGCATCTCATGTAATAGACATTTCTGTGTACTCTTTGTAAGTTGCCGACAAAGACTTTTTCAAGTTTTAACCGAAAATGGAACATAAGTTTCTTTTTAGGCTAATTTCCTCTAATAAACATAATATTAGTTGTTGCTGTTTATTACCATTACTGTCTTTTGTCTCTGCCCTTTAGATCCTTTTAACAGAAAGGACAGGTTCTGGGGAGGGGCTACTATTTTTGTTGGGAAGGAGAATAAAACATGATGTTGACAAATTTTTCAATGTGAGTACGATTATTTTTCAAGGAATGTAAATCATATTTTTTTATTGATGATTATTTATGTAGTACGTGGCGTTAATTTTTGTGTTTGCTATTTTTTTATTTGGTTATAATTAAAATAATTTACTAAATTTAAATTGTCTTATAAAAAAACATTTGAAAATTAATTCATATAAAATATTTAGTGTATTCATATAAAAAACATATAAATTAATTCATATAAAACATTTGAAAATTTACTAAATTTAGTACATGTTTTTTTTGTACATGAATAAGATGTTTGACTTTAATTCGATTGGATTTAGACTTGAATTGATCGATCAACGTTCACTAAAAGTTGCAAGCAAATTAACTTAATTCTACTCAACTTAGTACTAAATTCAATAGCATTAGTCATCTAAACATAAATGTAGTCCAATAATGAACTAGTAATTTAAGTAATTATAACATAATTTCTGGCAAGTAATTTGGTATTAAACCAGCAATAATTAATTAGTAACATTAAAAAAATGGAACTAATTAGTCAAGTGTGTTTTACGCAAAAGGTTTATATATATTTTTGACATTGAGTTTGTTTCATCTTTTTCATTTAAAACATTTTAAGGATTTAAGAATTATCAAATACATAAAAAAGTTTTGTATTTTTATGATCAATTTTATTTTGTGTGTGGAAAGATAGTTGGGTTTCTGAAGAGTGTTGGTGATTCACATTAAGATTTGAGTTTGGTTTATATAAAAGGACAAAAGTTGCATAGATGATAGATCTATTTATTTTTCATAAATCCTTTTCAAAAGTTTTATTTGACCTTTAATTTATAGGTATATGATTAAAAATCTATTTTATGCATGCACCTTGTTCCAATCCCCATTGATGCCTTACCTTAATCTCCATCTAACATAACCATACATATGAACCTCACAATGCATCAAACTCTTCTCACATCTTATTCATCCCTCTCACTCTCTCTCTCAATCACATGTTCATCCCAAATCACCCAACACCTTAATTATATCCTAACACAACAACACAAATCACAATCAACAAAACCATTTACCTCATAATCATTCTCATCAAGCCTCAATATATAAATCGCCTCTTTCATCTCTCCAACACAACCAAACAAACAAAAACTAACACCCTCGTAATCTTAATTTCCCCAAAATGACAAAGCAATCTCCTTTACCCATCTCATTAGCACTTCTATTTTCCCTCTTGCATGCAACCGCTCTAGCAGCCCTATCTCCGGCCACCGCGCCGGCGCAATCTCCCCCCACCCCATCGACCGCCGCCCCAACAACACCCTTGATCCCCACCCTACCCCAGCCGCCTCCCACCGACAACACTCCCGGCGCCACCGACATAGCATCAATCCTAGGACAAACGAACTCCTTCAACATCTTCCTTCGCCTCATGAAAACCACGCAATTGATCAACCAGCTCAACTCCCAACTCATAACCATAAAATCCGGTGGCTTAACCATTCTCGCACCCGAAGACGGCGCCTTCTCGGAGCTCCCACCGGGCTTCCTCAACACGCTCTCCGACGGCCAGAAACTCAAGCTCGTCCAGTTCCACGTCCTCCCGGACTTCGTCTCCAGCGCCAGCTTCGACACACTCACCAACCCCGTGCGAACCCTCGCCGGGAACAAGCCGGGGAAAGTGGAACTCGAAGTGATAAGTTACGGGGGCAGCGTTAACATCTCCACGGGACAAGTTAACACCACCATCAATGGGATCGTATACATGGATAAGCATCTTGCTGTTTATAAGGTGGGTAAGGTGCTTCTTCCTTCCGAGTTTTTCCCTGCTAAGAAGAAGACTATAGTTGCTGCACCCACTCGGGCTCCGGCGCCGGTTACTGAAACGGTGAGGGCGCCTGAACCTGCAAAGGTGAAGCCATCGTCTTCCGAAGAATCCTCGGCGTCGTCGACGCAGGTTGTTCCTACTGTCACCTCTGGAGGTATTAGAATTGGTGTAAGTGGAACGTGGGTGCTGCCCCTTGTTCTTGGTGTTGTCTTTGTGGGATTTTTGAAGCCATGAACTTTTGGATATCTAGGAAAGTGATGTGTCTGAATATAGCCTGTGTTGTGTTTTCATGGGGTGTGGAAATTAAACTGAAAAACTGAGGAGGGAATTTTAATATCTGTGTCTCTTTATGAATTTGTATATCTTTATGACTTTATAATTATTGAAATAAATTACTTTCTTGAAGCTTTCATTTGGTATTTGAGGGAGGACTCCCCCATAAACTTGAACTTGTTCACTGTGCAGTCATGCTTATTCATAATAGTGAAGATGAAGTTTGCCATTGTTAAAAGGAAGATGATGAATTGAAGTTTTTTTAAATTAAAAAAAAATCTGTATAATATGATATAATAAACCTATGTTTTATATTTTTTTTTAAGGTGAGAAGCCATTCTTTTTGAATATGATCTTAATTCTTCAATGATTTAACGAATTAACACAGATATTTCTCCTCTAATGAAAGTCAGCGTAAATATGATTAGATGATAATTGTTAACATGGTTAAAGAAAATATGAGAGTTATTAGAACTAATGAAATGTTTTGGACTAATAATTAGGTTTAATGAGTTTAGGGACAAGGATAAAGAAAAAGGAGAGAAATTTTTTCAATATCAATACCAAAATTCTTAAATGTATACAAAGGACCATGAATTTATCTAATTAACTGCTTCAGTACATAAATTAATAGATTATTATTATTATTATTATTTTATCGGTAGAACTATTTATAAAAAACAAACAAAGAAGTAAACTAAATTAAGCTTTTTATAGAACTGCAAATAATTAACTCGTGTTTTTTTAAGCTTTCTCGTCTCATTTGTTAAAGAAAAAAAAACTCACAAATTTAGATTCAAATTTAGATTAAAATTAGAGTATAATTAAATTTTAAATAATATTATCTATTAAAAATAATTATATAAGAATCTTTTAACTAGAATAATATCTATTAAACTCATATTTTTTTACACACGTTACAATCTCATTTTTGTTCATAATAATTTAAGCATTTTAGAGTTATATTTCTCTTTTACAGGTATTATGTAGAATTGAACATTGAATATTTGAAGGTGTAACTATTGAATCTAATCTCATTGAAAAAACTTTTTTTTTTCTTTACGAGAATATCTCTAATTACAAATTAAAAAACTAAAATTAATTAAAAAGAAGAAATTACGAGACTTTTTTCATAAATAATACTGTTTTCAAAAATATTTACCAAAATAGCACCTCTGCAACTTTATTTACACAACTAAGCACTGTTCATCTGTTCACGTAATAAAATAATATTATTTCGCGCAACTGTTTATTGTTCACGTATTAAAATAATATTATTTCGCGTACTAAACTCTCGCTCAAGCGAAGAAAACCTTCGCTTGAGTGAGGAAATCTGTAACGAAGGGGTAATCTGGGGTAAATTCTCGCTCAAGCGAAGAAACCCTCGCTTGAGCGAAAAGTATGATCGATTATTATCCAATTATAGTCGATCACTTTGACATATATGACTTTAGATAGCGGTTATTTGGCCAACCGCTATCTAAACTACTACATTAGAAAACGGTTAAAGCCTAACCGCTATCTAATATATATTTTTAAAAGCGGTTGTTATCAACCGCTATCTAAGGTGACTCAAGCGAAAATCACATCGCTTGAGCGAGGACACCTGGAAAAATGGGGGATTCTCGTTATATCCACCAATGCATTGGTCAGAACTACCTTCATTTTGTGACATTCTCTTCTTCACACTGTCAGCCACTGTTGGACCTTCAGAAGCATCTCTCCTGGATACAGAAAAATGGGAGTCATCCACGGAGGAGGCTTCTGTATCCAGGAGAGATGCTTCTGAAGGTCCAACAGTGGTTGACAGTGTGAAGAAGAGAATGTCACAAAATGAAGGTAGTTCTGACCAATGCATTGGTGGATATAACGAGAATCCCCATTTTTCCAGGTGTCCTCGCTCAAGCGATGTGATTTTCGCTTGAGTCACCTTAGATAGCGGTTGATAACAACCGCTTTTAAAATATATATTAGATAGCGGTTAGGCTTTAACCGCTTCTAATGTAGTAGTTTAGATAGCGGTTGGTCAAATAACCGCTATCTAAAGTCATATATGTCAAAGTGATCGACTATAATTGGATAATAATCGATCATACTTTTCGCTCAGCGAGGGTTTCTTCGCTTGAGCGAGAATTTACCCTGCATTATTCCTTCGTTACAGATTTCCTCGCTCAAGCGAAGGTTTTCTTCGCTTGAGCGAGAGTTTAGTACGCGAAATAATATTATTTTAATACGTGAACAGTAAACAGTTGCGCGAAATAATATTATTTTATTACGTGAACAGTAAACAGTGCTAGTTGTGTAAATAAAGTTGCAGAGGTACTATTTTGGTAAATATTTTTGAAAACAATATTATTTATGAAAAAAAGTCAAATTACGACATAAAATTACAAATTTTACAAAATATAGAAACTAGAATACAATTCAATGAACTTTTTTTTCATGTTTTTTTAAAAAATAAACCAAAAACTGATAAATTGATTTATCACTCAGAAATTGATTTATCACCATTAACATTGAAAGGTGATATTTTGATATAATATAGGAAGAGGGTCCAATTTAAACTTTTGATATACAATGATGTATAACTCCATATCATCATAATATACATGACACTTCTTCTTCTTCTTCTCCATCGCCCCACCTTCAAATAATCTCCATCAACCATAGATGCACCACCTTTCATCCATTCTTTCTATATGAACTACCACCTATAAATTAATCATCATTATTATTCCCTCCCAAACTTTATATAAAAAGAAAACCTCTTTGGCTTTTCTCCTCACACTCACACAACACATCAAAAACCAACACAACTCACTCTCATTATTCTCAACTTTCAATCACTAACATCATGGTGAAAGGCTTCTCTTTCTCACTTGCACTGTTACTCACCTTGTTCTTCATCACCACCCCCTCAACCCTATGTCAAAAACTCTCCCCCGTTCAAACTCCACTATCCTCCCCTCCAACCACCGCAACACCACCGCAAGGGATGAACACGGTTCCCCTTGTACCCGTGTCACCCGCGGCTGCTCCTATCTCCGCCACCCCGAAAACCCCCACCATCGACATTTCCCAAATCCTTGCCAAGGCGAAGAGATTTTCCGTCCTCACCCGTTTGCTGAAAACCACGCAACTCATCAACCAACTCAACTCGCAACTCATCACATCATCCTCTGGAGGATTGACCCTTTTCGCCCCCGAAGACAGTGCCTTCTCCAACCTAAAACCTGGCTTCCTCAACTCTCTTAATGATCGACAAAAGGTGGAGCTTCTTCAGTTCCACACTCTCTCTTCTTTCATCTCTATCTCCAACTTCGACACCCTCACCAACCCGGTTCAGACTCAAGCCGGCGATGACTCCCAGAGGCTCCAACTCAACGTCACCACTTACGCCGGTAACCGCGTCACCATGGACACCGGCGCCATTAACGCCACCGTTACTGGTACTGTGTACACCGACAACAAGCTCGCTATTTATCAGGTGGACAAAGTGCTTGTTCCGCTTGACTTCGTTCTTCCAAAAGCCAAGGCTCCCTCGCCGGCGAAAGGATTTTCGCCGAAATCCGATGATAAGGGCTCATCCGGCGGAGAAATCGGGAAAAATGGTAGCGGTGATGACATTGTTCCGGTTAGTTCTGCGAGTTTGAAGGTGGAGAATGTAACGTGGATACCTATTATTCTTCTTGTACTTGCTCTTGCTGTCAAGATATGAGGTTTTGAGTTGGGCTGGATTCAACGGTCGCGATCGATTTTGTGATTGTTTTTTAGTGCAGAGTTGGGTGTTAGACATTTTAAATTACTTTCCAGCATAATATATTCTGTAATGTTGTCTCTTTGATTCCTTCTTGTTGGTTTTGTTGATTAAAGTGTAAGTTTTGTAAGATATTTTTATCTTTCTAATTAGGACAATTCATCTAATATGAATAAAGTATGAATTAAACCCTTTTTTTTTTTGGCACATTAGACCAAACCTGGGTAAGTCCGATGGAAGCCCAACAACTTCAATTGTTTTACCATGTCTCATGCACACTATGTAAAAATTCAGAAAAACAAAAAAGCTGCTACATTTCATGCGTTATATATAATAAGGTGACAAATTCCAGTACTGATTGAAATATTGAGTATGTGAAAAACTTTGTTATGAAGAGTTTTTGAGAAAGTGATGGTGTATCAGCATTGTTTTCCCTCCTAAATCACCGTGAAGGAGATGGAACAAGCCAAAAATTTTCTTTATCACAAAAGCAAGTTGTCCAAAAGATAATTTTACGGTTAGTTTACAGGAAAAAACGAAGAGTAAAAATTTATTAATACAGAAAAAAAAAAAATATATATATATATATATATATATATATTATAGTAAAAGAATTGTCATTAATTTATATATTTTATTTTTAATTCATGTAAAATAAAAAATAAATAGTAAAATATGTAAATTAAATATTATTTTATAAAATTATATTTTTAATAAAAAATATTTTCTTATATTTTTAACTTTAGTTTATGTATGCCATTATAAAAAAAATTAAAAAAAAATCAAATCAACAATTTTATATATTTATATTTTTTAATATGATATTTTTTTTAGAAAATAAATCTTAATTTAAAATAGTATTATCAAAATAAGCTTAATTCACGAGTCTTTCGATAAATAGCACATATTAAATAAAAAAATTTATAACATAAATTAAATCAGATATTCGACCCAACTTATATTAGGTCTTCGTCTTATTTGTTTTATAAAATAATAATTATTTTTTAAATAAAAAAAATTATATTAATATATATATATATATATATATATATTATAAATTAATTTCACAAAAACTCACCTAACAAATATCACACTAAATCTTTAATTATTACTTATTTTAATATATAATGATTAAAATTAATTATTATTTTAAATTAATAAATTACTTAAAAAATAAATAATGATAATAAAAAATAAATTTTTAATTCATATTTTAAGATTAAATAAATATATTATTTTCTAATTTATATATTAAATTATCATATCTTAAATAAAAATTAATTTTATTAATAAAGTTTAAATATATATATATATAATTGATTTATTATAAATACATTAATATTTTTAAAATTTAAATTTAATCATACCAAAATTGATTCTATTATTTAACATAAAATTAAATTAAATTAAATTTTCTTTATTTATTTTAAAATATAAGTTAAATTGAATCATTAATTTTTATTTTTTTACGCGTAAGATCAGACAGGGTTAAACCTTCTATTTTGACAGTTTTATTTTAAAAAAATGATTTAAAAAATGATTTTAATCATATCAATAATTATATAAATAACTTTGTAGTTGGATAAATATTTATTTTAAAATTATCTATTTATTATATTTTTAAATGAATATTTTTCTTCTACTAATTTCATTTTAAATAAAAAAAATTCTGCATTTTATGTCATATTTTTTATTTGTTTATATTTATTTCAAGGACCCTATACACGACTAAAATAATTGTCGGTATATTTAATATAACTATCACAAAAATCAAATTAAAAAAAAAACTAAAATTGTGCAACTTTAAAGAAAATAAAGTTAAATGTTTTCTTTCTTCTTCTTCTTATTCTTCTTCTTCTTATTATTATTATTATTATTATTATTATTATTATTATTATTATTATTATTATTATTATAATAATAATAATAATTTCATGTCACTATTGTATTATTATTATTATTATTATTATTTTAATTTAGTCTAATCTTTTTCAAATAAATAAATGTTATCTCTTTCATTAAGTTATCTAGAAAAATTATTAGACACTGTTATTAAAAATAAATAAAATTTAATTACTTTTAAATCAAAACATAAAATAAAAATAAAAGGCTCCACCCTTCATGTTCCGAACAAAGTATGTGCTTATTGGCAATAAATATATATGAATTTTAAAATTAGAAAATAAATGTTTGTCAACCTTAACTCATGTCTTTTACAAGAACAATATATACACGTAAATGTATATATATAAATCTGAAGATAATAGATTGAATTTTTTTTTAAATGTCAATAAAAAAAACTTTAACTGCACTATTTTTTTGTTTCCTTATATTTGAAAATAAAACATAGACGCATGCATCAACGTATATAAAATAACGTTAGTTAGATATAAATTATAGATAATATAATATAACATAAATATATATATATATATATATATATATATATATAAATTTAACTTTTGTATTTAAAAATTTAGGTCCAGTGTTTGCATAATTGAAACATATATAGTTTTTGTTCTTTTCAAATTTAAATTTGATTATGTCACCAGAAGTTTATATGTTTATATTCCTTACAAATAATAATTAAGTATATTTTTTGGCACTGTTTTGTTTCGTACTATATATATACATATAATATATATAAAGAGGGTAGATTTATTTTATAATAATTTTGAAAAATATTAAAGGACAAATGTGAAAAGAAAATATGGGTGATAGGTATATTAAAGTATGGATAACGTCATTCCAAATATATAATATTGGTAAGAAAAGTAGTGTGTATAATCACTGGTAATGGTTTTGTACATCAGATAATATATGCGTGAGAGAGAGAAACAACAAAAATGAAATAGCTGGAAAGAAAGCTTTTGCCTCTTTCTGAGTATTTTATATGAGGGGGAAACTAGTTCACGCCCTCCCAAAGGTCACTCAAAACAAATAAAAGTAGGTCATCATCGACAAGAGACGCTGTAGCCAGTAAAATTGCATCATCGTAAAAACGTAACATGAACTAGGTTTTTTCTTTAAGAAAAGTACTGCAATGGTAAAAAATATGTAACACTGTTCTTCGACTATCATCCATATCTGTCTATCCATCTATATCCTCCTAATTCAAACCAATCCCAATTTGTTAGTTAGACTTTCTGGACTGTGTCTATACAAGACTTATATTATTTTATTCATAGAAATTATACAACAATTCACGCATACTACTCAACTATTTCTTATATATAAAAGTTGTGTTTAAGGTAAGTTAGATTCTCTTCATATCTTTGAGGTGTGCCAAGTCCTTTTTTTTTTTAATTTATACTATTTTTCTAACAATATAATTGAAAAAGAAAGTGAATATACTGAAGTAAAGCATTGAATGGAGAGACGTAAGTGGTAGTGTTTGTTTGTGGAAAATAACATTGATGGAGGAAAGGAGTTTGTGTACGTGTATCTACTTATTGTTTGCCCTATAATACATTATTAAGGACGAAGATGCAGAAGCTATGGAAGCTTAAAAGAAAAACAGGGAAATAAAAGTGTGATTTGAGAATATACAATAGAAGAAGCTAGGTAGCATAGAATGGAGAGAATATATATTGTCTCTTCCAAAACGCAATGGCCCCCACATCCTTCACGGGATGCCTCTATGATATCGATTTCATCACGTGATAGCTCCCTGTTCACTGTGCATGCCCACCCAATCACTCCCTAGTCGGTATCAGCTCCCTGTAATCTCCTTGTTATCGTCACTTTCAGGTACATTTCTACTATTCATTCTAAATTCTAATGCCTAAATATCATCATGCAAGCAATTAACTTCATTTTATTGCAATGCAATGCAACTCCATCAGTAATGTCCACGGAACTGGCTATGCAGGTTCATCACTGGCCCCATTTGCCTGCTTAATGATCCATCTCCCACACCCATGAAGTCTTTGGTTAAATGCTCTTTGGTGTTTGAACTTGAATGTACTTGATTCTCCATTATTTCTGCTTCTCCACTTTCCCACTCTTCGATCCGTGGCATCATCATATGCTCCAAACTCTTCGTGCTGCTACTCAAGGAAAATCCACCTCCCATGTTGCTGCTTGCTTGGGAATTCACCATGAGGTTGAAGTTTTCACCCTGGTTTGCTTGCTTGAATATCTTCTGAATTTCAACCACATTGCTCCGGTTGTTGTTGGACGTGCTTGACATGTTCGGGTCCAACAAGCCAAAGTTGGAGTTGTCGAAGGGTGAACTGCCACTCATCCTTGTAGATTCCATGTGACTTGGGTACAAAGAGCTCACGCTATGCGACAACTCCCCTTTGTTTTCTTCTTGCTCTAGCTTCAGTCCATGAGGCATAGAGATATTGGCACATGTAAAAGATGCTTCTGGGTATCGATAATTCGTCCACTGTGCCTGTGACGATGATGTCCCGAACAGGTTGTTTGTTTCAGGCAAGGTTGTTCCTTGTGAGAATACGCTTGAGTTGCTTGGAACAACGCTAAGAGGATGATTAAGCTGAAGATTTGTCTGGTCTAGCCATAGCGGCAACCTTAGCTTATGTTCATGTTCCGCATCTGCAAAATTCCCCATGAATGATTCAGGACCTGGCCCGCCAAACTCTGAATGAAACCCGTGCAATTGTAAACCCTGAGGCATTACTCTCGGCGCTTGAGCATTCATCAAAATCTCGTTTCCCAGGTTTGATAAAACTGCCGGAAGCCTCGCACTTTGTTCCACCATAGCGTCACAAAAGGCTCTATGCGTTACAAAGCTGTCCTTCCTGATTTATCACACAACTACAATAATTAATTCGCAGCACCATTTACATCAACACTCAACTCAAAACATTATATAATTGCGTTTAATCAACGTCCCCTCACACATTAAAATCATGAATTAGCCACATTATGTATTCATCTCCTGTCATAAATTAATAAATGAGCAAATCAAATTATACTATAATAATTAAACATGCATAATAAGATTGAGTAGGGACATATATGCAGTAGCAGTTAATTGAACGAGGTTGATAATGAAGCTTTTTGGAAATAGTAATAGTAGATACCTGGAGAATATTGTGCCACAGTCACATTTGTACTGTCTAGTCCCACAAATCTTGTTATGGGCTTTCCAGTCAGATTGAACAGCGTATTTCTTGGAGCACTTTTCGCATTTCCACTTCTTCTCACCGTGCTTTCTGCTGAAGTGTTTTTTTATCCCAGTGAGGTCTCCCAGGGCTCTGCAAGGGTCATGGTGCACGCAACTCTTCTCTGGACACACGTACACCTTCTTCCTCACTTCCTCCTTCGTTCTCTGCCGCAGCTTCCACGGCAGATTGTGCCCTCGCCGATGCAGCTGCAGGTTCTGGTCTCTCTGAAAACCCTTGTTGCACACTTCGCAGATGAACCGGTTCGTCGCCATCAGCGACTTTGGCGACAGGGCAATCACTTCTGCATTTGGATCTGCCATATCGGTCCATTAATTAACCAACCCGTAACTAATTTTATATAATTGTTGCGAATTATGTAAGAACATAGAAGCAGAAGATCGAGATTAAAGGATGAGGAAAAGGAGTTTGACAACTTGCCTGGTGTTCCGGGTAAGCTTCTTTTTCTCTTAACTGATGAGTTTGAATTAGGGTTAGGATTAGGGTTTGAGTTTGGTTGATGAACTTGAACCGAGGAGTCTCTGAGGTTGGAAGAGACAGATATTGCTTCATCAGACATCATGTTTGGAACCGAAGAAAATTGGAGTGTCCCAAACAAGCAACCTCGCAAATTCCGAAAGTACTAGCTACCTCAAAAGCTTTGAAGCAGACAACCGTGACACAGGCACTGGAAAACAAAGTAACATAACATCCAAGAAATAAATTAAAAAAGAAATGACTTATTAAAAAATTTCGATTTGAGACAAGAAAAGGTACACACATACATAGTTGAGAAGAAAATGAAAATGAAAAATGGTTGTTTTACGTACATGTGAATCGCACTGACAAGAGAAACGTTGAGTTTGGGTTGAAATTGGAGAATTGGTGAAAGAGAGGAGAATAAAGAAATAGTTGGCGAGTGAATGTGTTAAAAATAATTGAATTTCATTTCTCTCCTTATCAACACGGCTGCTGAGGGTGTCAGTCAGCCATAGACTAAGCTGGACCACTTTCTCTGTCTCTCGCTTTCGTTCACCACATATACCAATAGCCAATAGCTAGCACAAGCAGTAGCTACTAGCTACTAATCAAACTAACACTGTTCCTCTACCAAGTCAAATTAAATGACCTTCCGACCCTCTTCCCACTCTTATTTCATCACTTTCACCCACCACATGCATTCATTCAGATCAACCATCTAATATCAACTTCATACATCTTTCTATCTCTCTTTCTTCATTTTCGTTTATCCACGCAGTTTTGCTTGCTTCTTCACCTTGCCATTTCCTAGAGTGCTAATGTTTTTCCAAGACAAACCTTCTGAAATTCACATATTTAACTTGCCTTTCTCCACTTATTAATAAAATATCAATTACTATAATTCTTTTCTAAATATACATCACATTTAACTTATATTAGTTAAAGTGTTATCTCATTAGTTCTTTAGATATTTTTGTTATGGGATGCAATAATTATATAACTTTTCCACTTGGGTAAATATGGTAAAAGTTTAAATCTTTAAACCAATAAAAAAAAATGGTAGATTCTCTAACTTGCACCCTGCCTCTAACAAATTGGTCCACGTGATAAGAATACGAGTTTGAAGCTTGTTACCGATCTAGAAAACTTACTGTAAATATTCTGTAATTGCTCTACCTGATTGATGAAATCTGTGCTTTGGAGCCATAAAACGGATAGGAACATATATTCCGGGAGACAAATTTCCCGGCACAGATACTTTGGAAAAACATGGGATGTCATGAGTTTGAACATGGGTTTGCAAAATGTTCGAATTTTCCCATATTTTCTTTTCTTTCATTCCTGCCTGATGATGATTCAATGCGTTAGTTTCTTGTTTTCTTGTTTCCCGGCCGTTCTGTACCAATCAAAGGTTACTTAGTTTTTTTTTTTTTTGCATGAAAGACGTATACAATATAGATATTAACATAATATACTTAAATTGAATACAACAAAGTTATTAATTTTGGAGTATATATAGAAATATGATGAAAACTCTTGACAGAGAAGTATGAAACTGATTAAGACATAATTGCGTTACATTATATTAAGTAAATAGTGTTAAATGACATAAGAAAAGAACGATGAAAGAGAGAGAAAGAAGGTGGCGTTGTGATGATGATGTTGTCCGTGAGGCTTAACTGGTTGGGAATGGGAATGGGAGCCCACAACACAAGAACGATTGAGAGAGAGAGAGAGAGAGAGAGAGAGAGAGAGAGGAGAGAGAAAGTTTGATGCTTGAATAGAGGCACGAGATGACGGGTACTGGTTGTAGTGTCGAATACGATCACGATTGCAAGAGAATCGACGCAATATTATAATATAATATATATACTTTTTTTTTTCCTTTTCTATATTTCTGTAGTAGAAATAAATATTTGTTTTTATCTTTATATATATTTGTACGAATAATCTTTTTAGTATTAACTTTTTGTATTTATCTCAATCTGAATATTCGTCCCTGTTGTTTAAAAGTTCAAACACGGTGGCTTAGTAAACATGAGAATGTTAAATCACAATAGTAAACATTTCAGTTTTCAATTTGAATATTATTAGAAGACTATAAGCTATTCATCAAATCACATTTTGAAATAATAACTATTTTAACTTTCAATAATTATTTATTAAAATAATTTAAAATTATCTTATAATTTGTAATATATTTATATTTTATTTTTGAATCATTAATTATTTTATAGATAAACTCCTGGGAGAGTATTTATCGTGGTGCTTCACTTTTCTCCATAAATTCGTTCCTGTGGTCCACATCATCGATCTGGTCTCCTGAGGAATTTGGTGTTTTCTTTCTTTATTTTTCCTTTGTTTGCATGTCAAGGGAAAATAAAAATAACATATTCAATTTGATCAAATATTATTCCTAAACTATGTTTTTACAGTAATGAGATTAATCGATACAAACCAAGATTTATTTATCTTAACTATCATCTTTAGGGGAGATAAACAAACAATGTAAAATACAAAGGTTAATTGATTAATTAATTAATTAATTTCTGACAATTTTTTCTGGTGAAAAGTTTGTGTCAGTCTCTTTGCCAAATTCTGTACACTCTTCATGCACACGTAAAACATTTATTCTACTAAAACAAACTTTTTTTTAAAAATAAATTTATGACGTGTTTCGATTTATATTTATTTTTTTTATTTTCTCAAAATATAATTATTTGTGGGGCTGGTTGTTATAGGTTGCATTTTAATTCCTAGAAATTGCAACTTTTGTTTCTTTGCATTAAATCTGTGAAATATTTTGTTTTTTCTTAATTTTTAAAATTATAAGAATTTCAGCATTTAAGTAAGAAAGGAAGATATTTAGAGAAAATGTCAGTAGTTGTCAGAAAAATCATACGAGCAATATTGAGGGTGTCTTCTTCGTAAGAATATTATGAAAAAGAAAGGTGAAATATAGGATCCAATGCCATTTTAAAAAATAGTGACCTAATTAGCCATAAGTATATGCAAATATTAGTTAAATTATAAAATACAAAGATAAAACAAAAGGTGGTTTAATCCAAATCTTGTATTAAAAGAAAAACAGTAATAAAATGTTGGACAATAATATATATAATTAATAGTTGAAGTATAAGATGTGCACGTGAACGTGATTAAGAAATAATTAAGAACCGTGGATAAACATATAAGCACTTAAAATACTCCTTATTGTCTGTCACGAGTTTGAAATCCGAATTTTTCAAATCTACCACATATTTTTATGAATTGTAACCATCTTCAAATTAAATAAATATATAAGTGTGTGTACGTGTGAGAGAGGATACAATTTAAAAATTGTAATAATTACTTTGCGGTGTTATTATTTTGTGTTACCGTATATTGTATTTTCAGTAGTAACGAAGACAAATAAAACTCTTATTTTTTATATAAAAATAAATAAAAAAAATAAACAAAATAATTATTTTTTAATTATATGTTAAATATTTTTTATTAATAACTATTTAATGAAGCCCGTTCCGCATGCAATAATACATCATGATTTTTTCTAATAAATTATCATCAAAGCTATTTTATTATTATTTTCTTTTTTATATTTTTGTTTTGCAATGAGAAGAGAGTTGAAAAAAGAGACATGGAGGACTAACGAAACTGGGCCTCAATATATTTTGGGAGTGATACAATGGAAAACGCTAATGAATAAAAGTAACCATGTATTGCATTTTTTTTAAAAGTGATTAAGTTTGCTTTTGTGTAGGGTCCAATAAGTGGGGACACAAGAACATGGGTCCCATGAAAAAATAGAAAAGAAAAAAAGATAGGAATCTTTTTCTCTTGGCTATATATGATAAATAATTATCTCAGAGAAATGTAATGCAATTTGGAAATAGAGAGATTTGGGTGCAACCTCACATTTACTCCAATTATTATTTCTATTTATGGCATAAAGCTTAAACTATATCCTTTACAAATTAAACTTGGTGAAAGAATTATTAACCAGTTTTTTAATTAGGTTTCAAGGATCTAATCTAACCCTAAACAAATTAGGTATGGATTATCAATTTTTTAAGCGCGCGTTATATTAATTATCAACTATCAAACATTAATTCTTCCACTTGGGCCTTTGTTGTCCCTTGTAATGGGCCTCACACAATCCAACATTTTTTATTTTAATATGTTATTTATTTTACTGATAAAAAAAATAAAAAGCATAATAACATCGTTTTTAATACAAATAAATTTTGTAAAAACTATATTCAACATCAGAGAAAATTAATATTTAGAGTCCAGTCAAAATAAATAATTTTTTAAAATAATTATAATATATTTTTAATACAAATTAAAAAATATTTATTTTAGGACTGTGACCCCTGCAACATTTTATTCATGTATGATGTCAAATATAAGGTAATTAATCAGGGGTGTTGCATGTTTTGTTTTTAATGATAATGTCTAAATCGATAGATAATTTACAATTTCGAGAAAAAAATTATCATTTTGCTAATATTTGGAGTTAATTTGATAAATTCTTATAATTTTGAGAATGATAATTTATTAATTATTATTTAATAAAACTTTTCAAAGATAATTTTAAATTTATTCTGTTAATGGACCCTTATTAACTATGTCATCATTTAAGGGGTTTATGCAATATTTTAAAAGGTTGTTTACAAAATGAATGTAATATTTTAAAGAGTGTTTAGAAATGAACCAGGTCGCAAGCATATTTGTTATGGCATTAGAGAAGGTTTATTCCGGATTTTTTTGCTTAGTGATTAAAAAAATTCATTTTACACTCTCATTCATGTAATTTATTTTTCGTTCATATAATAAAAAATGTATGAGAAATTTTATGTTACAAAATTATTCACTTTTATAAATTTCAAGTATATATTAACTTTTATTATTACTAACTATATTATTTTGCAATAAAATGTGATAAATATAAAATCCATTACAAAAATCAAATAAATAATTTAATATATTTTATATTTTTAATATAACATAATTTTAATAATTCAAATTCAAATATTTTTAGAAAAAATATAATCTTATAATAAAAATATTTTATAATTATAGATCAAAATAAAAGATTAAGATTTAATTTAAAAAGTTATTATATTAATAAAAAATAAATTAAGAAAATTTTGTAACTACACAAATATTTAACTTTAATGTATTTATTTAAGTCAACATTGTTTTTTCATGTCACTCTTTTTTTTTTAATAAAAATGTATACTTTTTAATCTATTGTATTTTTTTTAATTTACTTTTCAATCTCTTTTTCTATTTATGTTTTCTTTTTTTATTGTCAAATAACATTAACAAAAATATAAATAAAAAACTAACTATTTTTTTCTAAAGAAATAGGATTAATACTGAAAATAATAATAAGATAAATTGAAAAGTATAAAAAAAAGGAAAAATCATTTAACAATTATTGTAACCATCATTCAACTTTTAGCACATATTTTTTATAATTAAATTCAAATAAAATGTTAAACAATTTGTAAACATTTTCTCATAAATAAATTAATGAATTAATCATTAAAATAAATGAGAAAAATAACTAAATTAAATTAAAGAAAAATTAGGTGTCATTTGTTATCCGTATAAATGATTGAACCAGTCTAATTTGACAAAATCAAGTAAAAAAAAACTTGTATTTTAAAATAAATCATAATTTTTTATCATAAATCTTATTTTAAATTAATGGATTATGTTGGGACGATGGAAAATAAAAAATATTAATATATTTATATGAAAAATTAAATAAAAATATATATTTTTAATTTAAATTATATTAACAACTTTCTTTAAATATAACAATTGAATATAAAAGAAGAAATCTATTTAATTTAAAATAAAAAATAATTTTTTTGTAATATTTTATTTTTTAATAATTTAATAATTTTAAAATAATTAACTAATATATCTTAAAATAAATAATTATCTTTATATTTATTTTATATTTATGAAATTAATTTATAATATATATATATATATTAAATAACATTATATATTTTTTTATTTTAAATAATTATTATTTTATAAAATATACTTATTTATAATCTTACAATAAATTTAACATAATAAGTTATGAATTAAATGGACGAGACTAAAATTTATGCAATAATTTTTTTTTCTTCACCCAAACTATCCTAATTTTTATAGGTTTTTGTGCTGACCCTATTTTAATAGTAATCCCACCTCATTTCTGCGTGACTTAAGTTCACTGCTTGTCAAAAGCACTCATTCCACGATTTCACGTAATCACTTCCAATCTTCACGGTCTACATATATATATATATATATATATATATATATATATATATATATATATATATATATATATATATATATATATATATATATATTCACTTTATTATTCAATTGTTTTTCGTTCTTATAAACATTCAAAAACACAAAAGCAGAGGCTTAGTGATGGACGCATGAAAAAAACCGTCCTAGGATTCGAGGTTTTAATGGGCAAAAGATGACAACAAATTCGATTGGAACTAAGTTTTTTTCTGTCAACGTGAATCAGAATTTCGATTATTTGCAATTTACGCCAGGTAAGTTCCAAACCAAAAGCTGCTTTCGCTGGTCAGGAACAAATTGAAAAACCTGGGTATCATCGGTTTGTTTGCGACCCAAATGCTAATGCAAAGTTTGAATTAAGGTAATCGTTTCCCTGTTGCTTTTGATTAGCTCTATTTTTGTTAACGAGATTCTAGTTCAGCACGACTATTTTGCATTTCTTAATTTGTTAGCATTTGAATAATGAAAAATAATAATGTCACAAACTCATGTCTCCATGTAGTCCCCACTTAACTTGGTTCATATTTCACTGTCTGGAAACTCTACAAGAAATGAGGAAAAAAAAAGGACAAGAAATGTGGACAAGGCTAATATTGAAATGAGGAAATTTCAAGGCATTGGAAGACTTGACATTTGAAGAAGCTTTATTATGTCTTTGTAATAAGACAACTCGCGAAGTTCCCCAAGGACACAAGCTTGACACAGAAACCTATGCAATCAGACTCACCATGCTCTCAAGAGCATCTTTAATTCTTGTGAGACTTTAAGTGTTAAATAGAAAATTTATGGACCAATGCTAGTTACTATTGGAAAAGCACTTCTTATTAAGTTAATTTTTTTTATTGTTTAATGAATCATAATTTTCTATAAAAACTCTGTCTTTATTGTTCCTATAATCGTGTTAGCAAATTCTTAAAACGTTTTACTGACTAGTGTAAGCTAGAAAAGACTTAGAAGTTCCTAAAATAATTATTTTATTATCATAAGTTTTACTGAGTATCATAAAGATATTCATAATATTCTCTATTTCAAGATTAATGGAAAATACATCTCAACTGTGCTTGATTTGAAAATTACTCAGGATTCCCTTGCATGTCCCTTGTTTTGTTGTTTTTAATGTATAATGTATGTGATCCATAAAGGTGTTCACTGTTCAAGTTTAAATACTGCATAGCTGTTAAGACATGAAGAGGGTTCTGTAACTTAGCCAAAAAAACAATAAGAAAAACAAAAGCCCTAGGTACCCTTGCCATTTTTTTATTTTTTAGTCGAGAGAGGGGGTTAATAGCTATGAATAATAGGGTCAGTATCAGAGGCTATTTAAATTTGTCGTCTGCATTGTGTAATCCAATCAAACAAGCAACTTATCTTAACCTGTTAATCTGCTTCATTTTGGATACATTTTTCTTTTTGCACAAGAGTCCTATCTACAATAAGGTTGCGAAAGTGACACTAACTTATTATGTCACAAAATTAATTTCATATCTCAATTTTAACTTTGTGCAAAGCTCAATTTATAGCAGAACTATGCATTGTGGTGATGAGGTGTTATGCAGATAATACATTAACTATCATGCGCAAGTTGCTATCTAGTACGTAGGTGAAGGTCAATTCATTGAGTAAAGCCAAATTGATGGGTTTCTCTGTCTTCTTCTCTCAAACTTTACATGCAACTAATTGGTTCCTGTCCCTAATATTTTGTCCGCAATGTTGGTATATCTGCATGGCACTGGAGCCATATTATATATAATGCAGAGAAGTAGATAACATAACACTTTACTCTCTTATTTAAAGCGAGCCAAATTGGTATCATCGGCACTTGTTGATTCCCTTGGTCTCTCTCCTTTGTTAAGAGCAAGGTATTCTTTGATGGAGGGAGATCAACTGGGTTCTAATTACTCTTTTCCTCCTGGCTTCAGATTCCACCCTTCTGATGAAGAACTCATAGTTCATTACTTGCAAAACAAAATCAGTTCACGTCCACTTCCAGCATCTATTATAGCTGAAATAGATCTCTATAAGTATAACCCGTGGGAGCTACCCAGTTTGTCCTTCGCCATGCACTTACTCCTTCTGTTTACCAATGGATTAGATAAACTTCCCCAGAAATACTTTCAGGAGAAGAAAATAAAATGAAAATTTTAAAAACTTTCTACATATGTTAAATTTATGGTTAAACATAAAGTGAAAAACCAATTTTTGGAGAAGCTGAGATGAGAGTTTCTATGCGTAAACTAGTTTTAGCTTATGAGATTCTTTTCTTCTTGTTTTCTTCTCTTATAAGTGTTTCTGAAAAAGGTTTATTCAGACACGTCCTCAGTCACGAGTATGAATGTAGTTGAGAAAAATGAATCTGTTTTTGTTTTTGTTGTGAATTCGCAGATAAGTCTTTGTTTGGAGACGAAGAGTGGTATTTCTTCAGCCCAAGAGACAGAAAGTACCCTAATGGATTGAGGCCAAACAGGGCAGCAGCATCGGGATACTGGAAGGCAACAGGAACTGACAAGCCAATTCTTTCTTCTAGTGGATCAAAGCGCATAGGAGTGAAGAAAGCTCTGGTGTTTTACTCAGGTAGACCTCCTAAGGGAGCTAAGACGGATTGGATCATGAATGAATATAGATTGATTGAAACAACCACCAAATCCTCTCGGCTAAAAGGTTCCATGCGGGTAAGTGTCTTGTAAAAAAACATTTTGGTTCCTTGGGAAGATAACAGGATATTTATATCAGAAATGCTTTCAAACAGGAGCTTGAATCACACAAACTAGCCATTCTATTTGGTTTCATATTTCCTAGCAGAAGGTTAAACCATTTCATCAAACACATGATAAGTAGGACCTTAAAAGTGTTGAATAAAGAAATGCAGTATATTACAGCCCAGATAAAAGCAATATCTGCACAAGTCTTTCCACCGAATTAAATACTGTTATCCTACTAAAAGGGCCAGTCTGATATCCCTATAACAAGGGAGATAAAAAATTCATCATTAAAAAAATTTCACTCCCAATTTCAAGGAGGTACAAAACTAATGTAAGAGTTAACAGTTCTTTAACTTTTTAACAAACAAATAAACTTCATGGGTTGAAGTTTGGTATTGCTCTCTTCTCCATTCTGCTTAAAACTCGTAACAAAGCCAATTGAACAGCATAGTAAAGTATAATATAGACTCCATTGATTAACAGCATGGGCCGGGCAACTTCTCTAAGGTACGAATTTAGAGTTCAGGTTTGTGCGCGTAAACTAGATTTATGGTTTACCAAAATGCTATATATTATTGGTAGACACACCAATATTTTAAACCAATAAAAACAAAATCTAGGATTATTTTTCTACTAGATTGCAAGGTCTACTCGCACCATTTTCATCCTTGCTTCTGAAACTGTGATCCTTTATTTACAACAGTACATGAATTTAATGCAATAATAAGCATGTCTCTTGCTGTCACAGTTGGATGACTGGGTACTATGCCGGGTTCGACATAAAGGCTACTCTTCGAAGATGTCATGTGAAAATCAAGAGAATCCTAGTGAATTAAACTTGTCAGCAAAACTACCAAGGAGTGAAGAATATCCTACAAACATGAACTGTCGGGCTGACATGATAACTGACTATCAATACAAAGACTATCAGATCATAGCTTCTATTCTTGTTGGTGCGCCAGTACCTCCCACTGCAAACATGCCAAATATGAGCTTCAAGGGCTGCAAAGCCACCAATCTAGTTTCAGTTTATGAAGATAGTTTCACTAAAGTGAATTCTCAAATGACAATTCCTTCTTTGGACAGTTACTTCAACCCACTGACAAGAAAATCTAATGAAGATGAACAGTTTGGAAATCTCATTTCTTTTAACAGGAAGTTCAACACTGAGAACAAAATGGACGAATCTTCTAGCAAGGTCTTGACAAGTAGAGAAGTGAACTGCTATAACCAAAACCAGTCTGAAGATGACATTTTCAGTGGCAACTCACCAGATACTGGCATCAATTTTCAAGAGCTAAATGAATTAGCCTTTACAGGAAGGTACTCTCAGTGATGAAAGTTCTTATTATAGTTTATATGACAGTCAAAGTTCTTTTACTTCACAGGTAAAATTTCGTTGACAATGCGACTTCAGACGTAGATGTAACCGGAAAGATGATACGGCCGCAATATTCAAGCGAATGATTGATCTATTTCTTTATGCATGGTTAACATGGGGCAACATAGAAGTTTCCATGTATTCATGAAATTCCTTGAAAACAATGTAAATGATGCCCCGGACAATTAGCTTCTTGAACGTGCCTGAGTCAGTTCAAGTGGAACTTTATCCTACCTAGTAACGTTAGCGTGTATAAACCATTTGTATCTATCCAACCTACAGGAGTTGCGTGTTATTTAAAAATCATGCTGAATTACTAATAGCTATCCAATGTAAAGGTTTCTTATTAGATCTTATTTTACTTTAAATAAATCTTATCATATGTCACGTTATTTTTAAGACCCTGCTACTTTTACTTTATAAGATCCATATTTTTATAATTTTTTATTTAAATCTCAATTTTTACTACTTTGAAAAATTAATTTAATTATTGTGAATAAATATATTTTTGTTCTTAAGATTAAGGTTTTATACCATACCTAGATCTTTAGTTTAAGACCGTTACCATCTTACATCACCATCTTCCAATAAGGATTTCTTATTAGATTTGGGTATTAAATTAAAGACTTTGGCTAAAACTCATGTTTGGAGATGTCATTATAAATCTACCTTCTTCCATCACAAGCACTTCAGCGTTGAACCAGCATAAACCATCATGAATTTCACGTAAATGTTTATATGCATACCGAAACTTTTAGATTACACTCAGCACCATTTGTTCCAGTCACTGATTTAACATAAATGGTAGATTGAGCTGATATTTAATGATAAAAGTTGTTTTATGATAGGTTATGGAAGAATAGCATTAAAAGACAGCTGTGCCCCAACCATCAATCTTCGAACTCGTATACGGAGACTAACATGCAAAGAGTAGGCAAGACTTGTAGAAAAGAGTGATGATATATTAAAGTGGCCATTGATTCATCAAAGAATTACAAAGCACATTGGTAAAATAGATGTTGCCATTCTCTAGCAGCTGAACCATGATGTAATGTTGGAAAATTACTCTGACAGCCCTCAGATAGCTCAAGGATGTAATACCATGTTACGACCGGACACCAGTACAACAAGGGAAAGAATTCAAGATCAAGTCACCTCAGAGCACTGAAATAAAGAGAAGATATTGTGTTAACCAGGAGAAGAAAGAGTGCAGAATTAGCATAAATAAATAACTAATTAAACATTCTTGGCTAGTTTTGTTATGATGAACAAAATCGCAGCTTACTTGTATAAATACATAACGATTCCAAGAAGAACACAGATTAGAATGATGTCGATGATGAAGTTTCGACTAGACCTTATCTGAAGAGGAAACAAAAATTGCAATTCAATTGAAACTTGCAGCTTGAAAACTTCCACAGAAAGGAGAGTGCAATAATCATGTCAATTACCTCGTTGAGAGTTTTCTTAAGCCTCACGTTAGTGTTTTTCACGTCAGATGTTGCCCTATCCACCTGTATAATCAGGCCACGCAGTTTATACATATTCATGACAATATTCTTTTGCGAAAACTACCTATCTATCTATCTATCTGAACATGGAAAAGCAAGATTGAATAAATAATCTTTTACCTTATTTTCAATTTCATCCATTAAAGGAACTTGCCGATCCAATTCCTGAACATAGTTACGGGAAATATGAGAAAATGATTATCCTCTTAAAAATCCAACATCTTTCAACAAATTTCCCAAACAGAATACGATGCATAACAGAACAAACCTCATTCATATCACGGGCCAGATCCTTCAAGGTATCCAATCCCTCTGATATGATATCAAGCCCTTCCTCCTGAACAAATAAAAATTTGACTAATCAATACTATATAAATCAGCCTGTGGCGAATACCACAAAATGACTATAAACCTCAGGCAGTTCCTAATTTAGCAATTAACGTAGACAACATGGTAATTGGAATACTGAAGAAATATTGCATGCCTGTTTCACCCTACGCATCTCATACTCTTGCCGGAACTGACTGGATTCTTCACTTTGTTGGAAATACTCACTCTCAAGTTGTCCCTCTGAGATTGGGAATGAAAGAGATAATCAAGATTAACAATTACAAATACTGCTGATGGTAAATGCACTTTATATTAACAATGCCGATCACCTGAATCAAACTTGACATGTGGCTGAGATGAGGTAGCCGTCCATCCTGCAGCTTCAATAGAACTAGAAATACCATCTGGTATTGCTTGGATTCTCTCGGGCAATGCCAGAACAAGATCCTGACGGACGGCGATATCCTCTTTCGTGAGACCTTTAACCTGTTAATATTAGCATTAGATTTTTAAATGCAACCAAAACCTTTAGCATAGACCCAAGACACAAAGCAAACTGAAGCATACTAATACCTTCCCTCTTTAGAAAATATATTTAAATAGCACCTACTTTTATTTGCATCCTAGTTTTTGGTTTTATTTTTATTCATCGATTTCTTGCTGAAACAAACACCAATAGAAGGTGGGCCATTAAGCACATTCGAAAGGTTTCTGAAACACAATATCTAGTTCAGCCAACCCTCAACCAGTGACAAATGGACTAAAGTGAAAGCAAAACTAAAAAAGAATGAAACTTGTTTCTAAAGCGGGTTAAACCAGACAAATTATTCAAGTTCATGACCACAATCATCTGCGTCTCATCCACATCTTCATCCCTTCTGAATATTTTTATGTAACTTGTCTAACAAGTCATTCCTCCTTTCTTTATTTGGTATTGGGGGTACAACAACTAAAATGAAAATTCTTATGAAACTACTCAAATCTCCCACCACTGGACCAATTAGGTTGGTCCTTCCTTCTAATGTCATAAAAAACATAAAAATAAAATGTCAATATGGTATTATGCTTTAAACCATGGTCAGTTGGAATTGATTTTCTGTCTGGTCATCATATTTTACCTTCGCATGTTCCTTAATTACCGTCCCCTGTTGACATAATAATAAAAAAAAAAGTCCTTTGTTTTAGCATACATTAAATGCTAATATATCTGTACTTAATACGATTAAAAAAGCGAATAAACAAAACAGCGAAACGTTAGAGATTATGAATGGGTCGTGAAAGAAGTTTGGTGGACCTTCTTATGCGCCAATTTGCGCAGTTTAGGTATCTCGTCCATGAGTCTACCCTTGGTTCGACGAACCTCTGCATTCAAAGCCGCGGCAACTGCCCTGTTGGTCTCCGTGGAAGCAGTCTCCGATTTCTGCATTGAAAATGGAACGTCGTTTCAATTTCCAACAAATAAAAGAGAAGAAAAAAATTGAAAAAGGGAAGGGAAGAGAATGGAACGTTGAGAGCGGTTTGAATGCTGGATTCGACAGCTGCATAGAGGCGAGCAAAGGCGTCGTCGCCATAGGCGTTGAGCTCACGCTGCTTGTCGATATCGTATTTGTCATATTTTTGACAAATGCTATCGACGCGGAAGAGAATGTCAATTACAGACATTGTTCTTGTCTTTGTGGATTCTCCTCAGGTTAATGCTTTGAGGAGGAAAGTCTTCAAAATAGGGTGTGGTAATGGCCACCGTGACACTTGTTAAGGTGGTTTTTTGGTTACTCTGCACTGTTCCATCTCAAACGAAGCGTTCAACGCACAATTCGCTTCCACATGCTTTTTTCAGACAATAGCGTGGCAATCTCAATGCCAATGCATGTCTTTCTATTATCATTGCCTTCAATCCCATTTGACGTCATTATAGTTAATGTTACCTCATGATTAATAAATCAGTTTTTTTTTTTTTTTATTTGTTTGAAATATACTTTTAATGTTGATCGAATTTATAAAATTTTCATAAAATAATAAATAAAACTAGTTAATTGAAAAGTGAATTTCTCATTTTATTCTATTCTTTTTCTAATTATTTTATTATATTCCATTCTAATAAATTTTACCCAACAATAGAATGTATATAAAAAGTAGTGCATTTTTAACATTTCTCAAACTACCTATAATTGGACCACAGGTAAGTCGTGCTGAAAAATAAACTACAAACTTCCAATCATCTCAACTTTTAGACACTTTCTTCTTTTGGTAAGTCTTTTAAGGAAATTATAATATTTCAAAAAAAGTAATAATTAATGAAGACATTTATATGTTATTTATAAAATTAAGAAGTATACTAAATAGATGGGTTAAAACATTCTAAAATATATATTTTTTCAAATAAAGAGTGTTTTTTAATTATTTTACGGATGTATTCTTTATTTAGTTAAGAAAATGAAAATTGGTTTTTAAAATAAAAAATTAAATTTTCATTTTTCTATCATTTTCAATCCAAAATTGGATTTTTTTTCTCTTCGTCTTCAACTGCAAATGACCTCTCAATCATGTCTAGTTAGTTTTAACGATAGCTTTCGCAAGTGTTAGATATTATTTAATTGTCAATGGCAACTGTTGTTAAAAAAAATATTTGTTTCTCCGCCAAAAATAAGAGAAAAATATATTTTAATTAAACTATACATCTCTGAGTAATTTTGTAATAAATGTGATATTCAAAGTACAAAATTTAAAATTTTAGAAATTAAGAACAATAATTATTTTTAAAAAAATATATAAAAAGAACTCTATTGGTATGTGAGTATGTAAATATTAAATAATCTTTTTAAACATCTTGTTTTTTTCGACCAAAAGATCTAGCTTCTTCCAAGAGGAGAAATTGGGAAAGAACATTGAATTTGACCAAGAACATGAATTTGACCTAAACATCAAGCACATTCTAGGAATAAGGTAGAAAACATCAAACTCCACCTGTTTAATTTCGAAATCGCTCCACGGATTCAGTTTAACTATGTGTTCTGAAATAATTTCTGCAGACAAAAATCCAAGTTCGTTTTCGTGAGGAGAAAAAAAAAAAAACTAGTACTGATAACACGAAACAAACTATCACCATTAATTAACTAATTAATATACACTATTAAATAAAGAAAAGACATAGATCGATATTTAAGGCCATAGTTAGAGATTTGACTTCACAAGAACAAAATACCGAAATTGCAAATCTTAATTAAAATATTACGGAATGAAAAACTGAAAACAAAGCAGATCAGAACCACAAATCCAGAAGAGGATCGTTAGATCAAGCGGCGCCGCCAGATTTGGAGCGGTAGAGTTTGCCGAAGACGTGGAGGGCGGTGACGAAGCCGATGAAGCAGAGGCTCATCACCAGCACCACCGTCGGCGAGATCTTCAGCCCCGGAGCATCGTCCGTGTAGAACCTCAGCATGTTACCTCCTCCACCGCCGCCGACACTGGCGGTGGTGGAGCTGTTTCCTCCAGCAAGCCGACGGCGGCGCATGCCGGCAGTGGCAGCGGCGGAACCGCGAGGAGCGGCGATTCCTGGTCGCGCGGTCGTTGAAGTGGAGGACTGAGACTGAGAGGAACCTCTGGCCATGTCGCTACCGCAAAGATGAAGAGGAAACGGAGAGAAATTGGGAAAAATGAAATTGGTGGAGAGAAGAAAAGGAACAAAGAGAAAGGGTTTTAGTAAAATTAATGTATTGAAATGTTGACAAATTACAATCAATACTTTTTTTATAATATATTTAAAATTTAATTAAAACATATTTGAAATAAGGATGGATAAAATTTTCGTGCAAATCTATTTTTAATAAAATATACAAAATAAATTCTACTTTCATTTATTCACTATTGAAGTGTATTTCATTTGTAATATGATAATTAATTATTGTCATCTTTTAAAAATGGATATATTCTTTTAGCCAAATTTAATATTACCAACAATTTTCTTCAAGCATATTTGAAATTAATTTTAGGACTTCATCAAATTAAAATTGTTTTTACAATTAACATGATATATGTCGCTGGTTTAAAAAATTTAATTGAAGATTATAATATTAGAATACTGATAAAAAATTTCAAGTGATAGAAACTAATGAATGAAAAAACAATAACTGGCCATAAAATAATATTGCTAGTTAACTTGATATAATTTAAATATTTTCCAGCAAAATATAATTAAATTTAACCAAAATAATATGTGATGCTGAGAACGGCCGTTGTTTTTCTCTGCTGCCTGTTTTGTGTACACACTTTTGTTTTATTATGAAATCAGAAAAATATTTTTTGCTTTGAAATGTTTTGATAAATTATATGATTTATAATGACTATTAAAGTTTATAATAAAGTTGGTATATAAAACTGTTGTGATTTAAATAAAAATTTATATGAGGACTAAGAAAAGGGTTTTGTATTTTATTTAGATGAAAAATGAAACGTGGAAGAGAAGAATGAATAGGTAAACAAAGAGGATAAAAATTGTAAATTTAAAAAAAAAATTATTCATGATTTGTTTCTATATCTCTATGTTGTTGGATTTTTTTTTTAATGAAAAATAAACGGGCAAACTTGTTTATTTGATTTTTTTGATATGTTGTTTATTTTTAATTGTAAATGTTCTTAAAGAGATAATACTTAATTTAATCAAAGAAAATCAGTTGCTGATATATGGTATTTTCTTATTATATTTAATTAACGTGAGATTTGAATTTTATTATATATAAAAAGATGACGAGCGACTTTTGATAGACTGATAAAAGTCTAGTAAAATAAAGACAAATTCTATTTATATATTATATATTAACGTTTAAATTGTCATAAAACTATAATGATAAACCATGCAACATCTAATATAAAACTCAAATATTCACATTTTATATCTGGATCATATTTGAAAATTTTCTTTGTAGGAACTTGTAGAAAAGAAGAAGAAGAAGAAGAAGAAGAAAGAAATAAAAAAATATATGTTAAAGTTAAAAAAAAAAGTATAGAATTTTTTTTTACAAATTATTTTATATAAAAAATATTATAACTTACAAAATAAGTTTGTCCAAACATTAAAAGAATAGATCTATTGCCTTGCAAATTTGACTCAAGGTGAGATGAAACTAAATTCATTATTAGGAGTTCCATTGTGATTTTGAGCTTTTCACAATCTATACAAGACTTCAATAACATGCACCATAAAATGTAAGTCAAAATTAAGTGCTAAGCTATTTTTCTTTATAAAATATGTAATCATCTATTTGTTATCAAATGAAAATTCCTTTCCGTGTTCAATATTAATCTCGTGTTGAGTCAGACCTGAGCTCGCATGGGCTGAGTTGAGCTCATTGACATTTTCTTGTGGACCATGATCCAATTGACCCATTTCCATTTCCTGATGATCAATAGAGGAAGCATTGGCTATGGACTTATGGTGATGCGAGTTGGGGGATGGGCTTAAATCGATCTCATATGGATGATGGGCCTCAGAGACAGTGGAATTGGTGTCTATTTCACTGTGCCAACGGTGTAAGAGATGGGCCTGAGACGTAGCGTGCTTGGGGGTTGTTGGCCTTGACAAAGGGGTCTGCGTCTGCGACTGTAATCTACTGTTCTGTTGCTTTACGTGCTTCTTCGCAGCGTGGTGCCAATTCCTTAGAGCCATGGCTACTCTTTCGTTGAGTATGGTTGGTTTCATAGTTGAACCCATCTGTTCTCACCCAAAACCAATCCATTTTCATTCATTCTTAAATCTTTTCTGAGAAACTCTAAATTAAAAATGTTAAAAAAAGGACATTGTTTTATATTTATATTATAATACTGAATTTACTGGCATGGTATGAAATTGTTAAAAATATAAAGTCAATCTATTCATGTTCACAAGTTAAAAACAAAATAACAAAATGAAGAATTTAATTTAATTACTTTAAAGAACATGAATCATCATGGGGAGTGTTGTTTTTATCTATAATGTATGATGGAATTATTGTTTTTTTTTTTGAATTAACTACCTAAAAAGTTATATTTGGAATAATTTTGAATTGATTGAAAGAATAAAAAATTTAATTAGCCTAACCATTCATAAAAAGTAAACACTACTTGATGATGATTTTGATGAATGAAAGGAAACTTTATTAAAGAATAATGAAAAAAGAAAAGAAATAAATAACAGGTTATTCGTGGAATGAATTTGTATTAATTAAACCACCTGTGTGACGAGAGCATAGAGAGGAAGAGTTACGTAGCTGCACAGGAATTGAACGAAAACCCTGCCACATCATCCACGTTAATTTTACTCTATTAACTTGACATTAATGTTGATAAAGTTTCAGTACGAGTTATTAAATCTAGAAAACGGGACACACCCCATTGAGATTTTGATCACCACATCCTCTGTCTGCGAATGGAAACAGGATTTCATCCCAAATTGAAGCTGATAAAGAAAGTTCGTATATAAGACACAAGACTGTTATTCATCGAGAATAGAAATAGAAATATAGTAGTATCATTTCATATTACAAGTGCATTCATATTCACAAGTCTTGATCTTGTAGAAATTTAATATAATATATAGAAATAGCATTTACGTATGTATCTTAGTGTGGAAAATTTTGGTTTTCATTGATCATGTAGGAATAAAAGCGCGACTTACAGCAGTCCACGAAAAGTAGGCAAGTTGGAAAGAGTTCTGTTCCAATGAACACGCATAAAAAGAGAAATAGAAGACTTGGATTAGTCACTGATTAATTAACAGCTATGACAGGAAATTGGGAATTTGCATTTGGTTGATGTTAACGCTTTGAAAAAATGGTACACATATAGATACCTGAAAGAGCACGAAATTAACGAGGTAGAGAATAAGTCGAGGTTTGTTAAACCAGAAGAGATCATCCCCAGGTTGCACCAGTGGCACACCCTTTACAACCTCTCCTCGTTGTTGGATTCTTTGACCCATCTTCGTTATTATCACTTGCAGCTTCGTTCCCACTAATAGAACAATCTACATGCACTTTCACCACATTAATTATAACTATAAAAAAATAAAACATCATTATTAATTATGCCACGGCTTAATTTACATGTTCTTACAATCAAAGGAGCAAATGGAAGCCACAGATAAGAATACCAGCCTGACAATAGGAAAAGGTAAGTTATGTATACACCTTAATAACAAATAAAACTGATTTAGCTGGTGAGTTATTAGAAGATGTACCATGGGTGTGAAACAGAAGAAAAAGCACTGTGACGAACCAGATTGGAGGACTGGAAAAATCAGAAAGGGAGAAGTTAATTATACAATAATTTTGTAAATCAATTGTGACATACGTTATTTTCAAAAAAGGTTACTACTTTTCACTACTACTCGGAAGAGAAAAAAGACAGAGGGAGGGCAAATTAAGCACAAAACCTGATTTCAACGACCACTTTGAAGTCCTCTTCCAAAGTTCTTTTGATATATTGCCGAAAGTCAAATTTCTGGTGACTTTGCGGCCCCAAATGTGCCTAAAGCAATTTAAGTTATATTTCATTAAGGAGACATTCAAAGAGTTTATACCAACTTCATTTGGATCATTTCAAAGTTGTAATTGTTTCACATTTTTCTCAATTTACTTCAATAAATTTCATTAAGTTTGTGATATAAAATTTATTGCAATAAACTCATGTTGGTCATAAGTTCTAGCGATGTGAATATAATATGTTCATTATACATGTTGATCTTAAAGGTGAAATAATTCAGATATCATACAACCCAAATATCAGTAAAAAAATTAGAGAAAGGGTAGGTGAAATTAGTAAGGGGTGTAGTGTGGTTACCGTCAGAAATCCATGCCTCAAGGTTAAGTAATCAACTTTAGGAACTGAGCGTACAAACTGCCTGAAGAAACAAATCTGTACATTGCAATAAGGTTAAGCAAAGAAAACAGCTAAGATGTGTAATAAAATAGTGACTGTTCAGTTATCACGACGTCATTTCATAATGGTTTTTATTTTTTGGGTAAGAACATTTCATAAACAATTAAAGTGGGTTGACATAAATAATCGTCGAAGTTTAATATTCCTCTAAAACAAATGTTAAAATGAATATTATAGTATGTTTTTTATTTTATAATTTATTTTACTTCATCATTCATTGAATAATTTATGTTACATGCACTCAGAAAATTAAAAAAAAAAAAAGCATAAGAATGAATATGACTTACGATCCAAACAAGGACTGTATATTGAGTCCAGAAACTCAAGTGTCGTCTTCCAAACGATGTCTCCCTCGCAAATCTAAACCGTTCAGGATCTGTGGTAAACAACCCACAATATTACGCATATATATATATATATATATATATATATATATATATATATATATATGTGTGTGTGTGTGTGTGTGTGTGTGTGAGAGAGAGAGAGAGTTATGCAGTACTTTTTTTGTTTCGAACTAAGGATGTTAAATGCAAATGTTTAAGAAATATTACTTGACATAAAATATTGTTATGCTTTACTTAAAATATCTTTATCATTAATTAATGGTAGTTAAGACTGAGAAAGAGAGAAAGTAAAGTATAAAATAGAAGGATGATGATACGTGAAAAGAGAGATGAATAGGAGACATTATAATTAACTGAGGATTTAATTAACCACCTTTTTTAACATAACTCTTAAATGTTCAAAACAAAGAAACTAGGCATATGAATAAATTTTTTTTATTTTGAAACATAAAGGGGTATATTTATATATTGGCATATGTAAGGACAAACCGTGTGAAAATTGATATTGTGCGGTCTTTGTTTCCTCCTCCCATCCTTTCCACCTTCTCATCTATTTATTTGTTCAACAAAATAAGTAAATCAGAGATATGTATAAAAAGAGGTATAAAAGCTGTTAAAGAATTAAGTAGACATGTTTTCTTAATTACCTTTGCTCTACCAAGAGCCAGAGTGAGAATGCAGTAAAGGACGTGAAAAACAGCCAAGACGAAGATAAATATATGGAGTTGATGAATGCCCTCGGATGAGACAAACGGGACTTTACCCTACGCATTTTTACAATATAACACAAAAAAAATAAATAAAAACATTAACACCGAAGAAGAAAACACGAGTTAGACTGGTGTGTGCACGATCACGAGGAAAGCAATAACAAATAATCGTATCGAGTTCAATACCTGTGCTGCACACTTGTCACTTCCTCCCGATGCCAAAATACGCCGTTGAATTTCGTTATCATCGGAACCGAAAAACTCCGATAGTAATCTGCGGCCATTGGGTTTGTGCTCTCTTTTGTTAGCGCAGGGGTGAAATGTCCCAGCAACCTTTTCTGATATACATATCCTGGATATTACACTTTGTCCCACCGTTAGAAGCAGCGATATGAACCCCAATAACATGAGTTCTGCAAACAATTATTAATCCAATTAATAATCAAACCCACCGTTAATCTGACACTCGCAAAACTCAAAGGTTCAGATTGACGCACCTGATTTGATCTTTTCGAGTGACTCATGTAGAGCCCTTTTGTGCTTCTTCTTCAACCACTTCTCGCAGGAAGGATGATACAGATATGGTGCAATAATTAGTTAGTACATGCTGATAATTAAGATTAAACAGTTAGGAATGTATGAATACCTTTCCTATGAGATGGAAGATGTGCTCGATGAAGATGGATATGAAGAGCAAAACGAAGCAAACAACGGCCACAGCCCAAGTAGGCGTTTCCTCCAAGCTTCTTCCTACCATCTTCTTTACTTAATTGCCTTCTTAATTTCTTTGAATGTATAAATAGACAGTTGATGATGAGTGATGAGGTCAGTACCAAGTAGAAGCTTAGCTAGCTCCCCCATATTGAACCAACAAATCTATGTCCTAGTATTTGGGCAACTTGGAGTGAGTTAGAAACAATAATAAAAAAATTTAATTTTATATTGCTTTTTTAAAAAAAAAATAATATGTGATAAGTTTTAAATTAGATAAACAATAATTTTTATATATATGTATGATCTTAATATAAATAGTATGTATGTATGATGTTATAATATAATTTGGGATAAAGGATTTTAGATACATATATGTTATTATTCAAAACCATTTTATACATTAAGAGAAGACCATCCAAAAATAAATATTTTTGTATAATATTATTTTATTCATGAAAAATTTTCTCCTTCTATTAATATATCTCTTATAAATGATGTTGCAAATATTATAAACATTAATTATAAAAAATAAAATAAAACAAAATTAGTAAAATCATCTTTGGTAAATTTTAGTTTTTTTTTATTAAATTAACTATAAGCTATATATTTTGACTTTGACTTCCTTCGTATAATTTATATTAATGTTTAAAAAACAAAACATTTAGAGAAGCCAAATCGTAAAATTACAATAACGATGACTCGCAGAATTTGACAAAAGCAGTCACTACCCTAAACCCTTTAGGCTTCAATCCTGATCTATTACTGCTTATTTATTACAAGAGCTTAGCAGATAACAGTGCACAGATTTTATATAATAAATAATATGTTAAAATTAATTTCAATTTAAATATAAAGACCAACAAAGGAATCATGTCCATGTCCACCAAAATAATTATATACATATATAGAAATAAATAAATCTATATTTAGTCTTAAAAAATGCTAAGGTATTTTAATTTTATGACTTTTGGTTTATTCTAAATCATTAAGAAGATATTATTCCATTATTCTAAATCACAAACTATTTTCAACTTAAACATGATAAGAGTGAATATTTTTTAAAAACATGTCCATTTAAGAATACAACAGAAAAAAAACAAAAACTCATATAAACAAAAATTAAAAAGAAAATGTTTGTCTGTGCTAAATTACTGGAATGACGTGCAGACTGGGCAACTGACTGCACATAGTCTCTATATAAAATAGAAATTAACAAAAGCTAAAAAATATATGCAGTGTATTTTATTAGGTTGGTCTAAATTAATTTTGATGATGGCTAAGGTGCTATGCATTAATGCTACAATGTCAAAAGTGGCTATGACCATTTTCTGGGATAAGTTGAATTTCAGATTAATCCAACCTTACCCTTCTTTATTATTTTTTTTCTTGGTTCTATTTAATTTCGGAATGTTCTTGGAAGTAGTTCTTGTTGCTATCGATAATGACTTTGTAAGCCAATTCCCGTATAGATTCCATCAATCAAGGTTTTACTTTTAACAATGGTTTAATAATATAAAATACTCTAAAATTATCCACATTTTGTTTTTTTTTAAATACATAATAATACCACATTAATTCACACCGAAATATTATTTGTTTCAGAATTATAATTCGTTACAACTTTTTTTTTTTAAATAAGATTCATATATATATATATATAATTATTTTTCATCCATTTTTTAATTTACGTTAACCCGTAAGCATATTATTATTATTATTATTATTATTATTATTATTATTATTATTATTATTATTATTATTAATTTTATTACTTCTTATACAAATTTGTCATTTTTACATTTAATAAAAAATGTGGGCAGCTTTTATCAAAAGAAAATTCTTGATGGCCATCAATATGAATATCGTGTTGGCGAAGACCTGAAGACAGAAGAAGGGTAGAATAGAAGAAGCAGTTGTAGCATGGACCTCAAAATCGAACCTTATTGGAGACGACTGTGTGCCAATTTCTCAGAGTCATCGCTACTCTTTCGTTGAAAATTGTTGGCCTCATTGTTGAACCCATCTGTTCTCACCCACAACTCCCAATCAAACTCAATTCCTCCCTCTTCCACAAATTAAACTATCCCAAATTTTACTATGATGACAAAAAAGTCAAATTTTATGAAAAAGAAAGTATATATATAATAATTATTTGTAGAATGGATTATTGATATTTCATTAAACGACCTGCGTCACGAGAGCATAGAGGGGAAGAGTGACGTAGCTGCAAACGAATTGAACCAAGACCCTGCCACATCATCCATGTTAATTGTTACAAATTAACTTGACACTAATATTGCCCAAGTTTTTGACTGTGTTTTAGAAAATGGGACATATGCATACATACCCCATTGAGATTCTGATCACCACATCCAGTTTTTGGGAATGGAAACAGGACTTCATCATAAATTGAAGCTGAAAAATACAAAAGAAAAAAGTTCTATCATTCATACAACTTATAAAAAGACAAAAAGATTCATTTATGACGACACTCAAACAGAGGGGAAACAATTTAGGGTTAGGTTTTAAGAGTTGATTTGATTAGAAAACAGAAAAACATAAAAGATACCGTAGGCGCCACAAATAAGAATATTTGATAAGCCAAGAAGGATCGGCACAAGAATCGAATAATTCTTGATAAGATCAAGTGATGCAAGGAAGAACCCTAACAGAGCAACAACTCACAAAGTAATCTGAATATTTCGTACGTTCCTTCTGAATTCCCAAATGTTTAATACAACTTAAGTTTATGAGTTTGTCTCATTGCAGGAAATAAAGATAAATTAAAATCCTAATATCCCAAGCAAAGTTAAGTTGCCCAGATGGTTCAGTGAAGGCATTATAAGCTTTGGGTCTTGGGTTCAAATTCCCATTATAGCAAATAAAATATTAATAATAATAAAAACTAAATCTTTTAGTTGGGCCTCCTAGCTCTCCAAACATTCTATGCATGTGATATGTCTAGACTCCTCCATGTTTGGATCTTTTAATAGTTGGGCCTTTAGCAAATTGGTCACTTTGTATTGCAATGCCTCTTGTGCTTTTCTGAGCCTGTTGTCATAGGTCCACCTAAGTCTTGGATTGAATCTTGGTCTTGATCCTTCTCGTTATGGGCTTGGACCTTTATGTCCACATCATTCCCTCCTTCTTGGGCAGCATTTGTCCTCAAATCTATGAATTCATCTCCTGCATCAAAAGGAGTCAAGTCAGCAACATTAAAAGAAGTATTGCAATGCCTCTTGTGCTTTTCTGAGCCTGCCTGTTGTCATAGGTAAACCTAAGTCTTGGATTGGATCTTGGTCTTGATCCTTCTCGTTATGGGCTTGGACCTTTATGTCCACATCATTCCCTCCTTCTTGGGCAGCATTTGTCCTCAAATCTATGAATTCATCTCCTGCATCAAAAGGAGTCAAGTCAGCAACATTTAAAGAAGAACTTACATTATACTCTTCTGATAGATCAATCTTATAAGCATTATCATTGATCTTCTCTAAGACTTGGAATGACCCATCTCCTCTAGGTTGAAGTTTAGACTTTCTTTGTTCAGGAAACCTTTCCTTTCTCATGTGTACCCAAACCCAATCACCAGGTTGGAACACCACCTTTTTCCTACCTTTGTTAGCTTGCCTCGCGTAGCTCTCATTCTTCTTTTCAATTTGAATTTTTACTTGCTCATGCAACTTCTTCACATATTCTGCTTTAGCCTGTGCTTCCTTATGCTTAAACATAGAAATGTTAGGCAAAGGCAACAAATCAAGAGGAGTCAAAGGATTAAATCCATACACAATCTCAAATGGTGAACAATTAGTGGTGCTATGGATAACCCTATTATAAGCAAACTCAACATGCGGTAAACATGCTTCCCAAGTCTTAAGATTTTTCTTTAAAATAGTCCTAAGCAATGTGCCCAAAGTCCTGTTGACTACCTCGGTTTGACCATCGGTTGTGGGTGACAAGTAGTAGAAAACAATAATTTAGTACCAATCTTACCCCACAAGGTCCTCCAAAAGTGACTAAGGAATTTTGAATCCCTATCACTCACAATGCTCTTCGGCAACCCATGTAGCCTTACTACTTCCTTGAAAAACAAATCAGCCACATGACAAGCATCATCTACCTTCTTGCAAGGTATGAAATGTGCCATCTTAGAAAACCTATCAACAACAACAAACACAGAATCCTTTCCATTCTTTGTTTTAGGCAGCCCTAAAATAAAGTCCATAGAAATTTCAGTCCAAGGATATTCAGGAACAGGTAAAGGAGTATACAACCCATGAGGCTTAACCTTAGATTTAGCCTTTTTACACACAATGCAGTGATCACAAAACTTATTCACATCACGTTTCATATGAGGCCAAAAGAAATGCTCTTGCAAAATTTCTAAAGTCTTTTGAACCCCAAAATGACCCATCAAACCCCCTTCATGCGATTCACTCACAAGCAACTCTCTAATGGAACACTTAGGCACACACAATTTATTTGCTTTAAACAAAAATCCATTATGCCTAAAGTAACCATTTTTAGAAAACCTTTCACATGCAGCAAAAGTTTCAGCAAAATCCACATCATTCACATACATGTCTTTCAAAGATTCAAGACCAAACAATTTAGTTTCAAGCATAGAAAGTAATGCATATCTCCTAGAAAGTGCATCAGCTACTACATTCCCTTTTCCCTTTTTATGCTTGATGACATATGGAAATTGCTCCAAGAACTCAACCCATTTGACATGCCTCTTGTTTAACTTACCTTGTCCCTTTAAGTATTTCAAAGATTCATGATCACTATGAATTACAAACTCTTTTGGTAAAAAGGTAATGCTGCCAAGTTTGTAAAGCACGCACTAAGGCATACAATTCCTTATCATAGGTGGGATAGTTTAGGGCACCCCCATTCAACTTCTTACTAAAATAAGCAATTGGATGACCTTCTTGTAGCAAAACAGCCCCAATACCCACATTAGATGCATCACATTCAATTTCAAAAGATTTTCCAAAATTTGGTAATGCAAGAATGGGGGCATTAGATAGTTTGTGCTTAAGTTCAGAAAATGTCTTTTCTTGTTTTTCACCCCATTTAAACCCAACATGCTTTTTGACTATTTCATTAAGAGGTGCAGTCAAAGTACTAAAATCTTTAACAAACCTCCTATAGAAACTAGCTAACCCATGAAAACTTCTCACTTCACTCACATTCTTAGGGGTAGGCCACTCTTGGATGACTCTAATCTTTTCCTCATCAACTTGTACCCCTTTAGAACTCACAATAAATCCCAAGAACACAACATGATCAGTGCAAAAGGTACATTTTTCAAGATTAGCAAACAATTTTTCCTTTCTAAGCACATTCATGACAACATGCAAATGTTCAACATGCAAATCAAAGTTAGTGCTATATATCAGAGTATCATCAAAATACACCACTGCACATTTGCCTAAAAACTCTTTCAAGACATGGTTCATCAATCTCATAAAAGTGCTTGGAGCATTAGTTAACCCAAAGGGCATAACTAGCCACTCATACAACCCATATTTAGTTTTAAAAGTTGTTTTCCACTCATCTCCTTCTCTAATTCTAATTTGATGATATCCACTTTTTAAGTCAATTTTAGAGAAGATACAAGCACCATACAATTCATCCAACAAGTCATCTAACCTAGGAATGGGATGTCTATACTTTACCGTGATGTTATTGAAAGCTCTACAATCTGTGCACATCCTCCAAGTTCCATCTTTCTTAGGGACTAGAATGACTGGGACTGCACATGAACTCAAGCTTTCTTTAACCCACCCCTTTTGCATTAAGTCTTCAACTTGCTTTTGAATCTCCTTGGTTTCTTGGGGATTGCTTCGATAAGCTGGTCTATTAGGCAATGAAGCTCCTGGAATAAGGTCAATTTGATGCTCAATACCCCTAAGAGGTGGTAGACCTATAGGCACTTCTTTGGGAAAAACATCTTCAAAATCCTGCAACAAAGAAGAAACCTCTTTTGGAAGAGAGTTAGTAAAACATGGACTGTTTGATTTACTTTCTTTACTCAAAAGTAAAAGTATTGGCTTTCTCAATTGCATAGCTCTTTTGACTTCTTTTTCTTTTATAAACAGATTTGATTTTTTTCTCTCTTTCTCTTTTTCTTCCTCTTTTTCCTTTTTCTTTTCACTCTCTTTTTCTTTTCTCTCTCTTTTTCTTTTCTTTCTTCTTTTCTTTTCTTTCTCATTTTCAGTTGATCCTCACTAACTTCTCTTGGAACCAAAGGTGCAAGAGTAGTTTTGCGGTCTTTATGCATAAAAGAGAACTTATTAGTGAAACCATCTTGCATAACTCTCCTATCATACTGCCATGGTCTCCCAAGAAGTAAATGACAAGCCTCCATAGGCACCACATCACACAAAACAGAATCTTCATATTTCCCTATGGAAAAACTCACTTCAACTTGCCTATTCACGGTCATCTCACCATCTTCACTAAGCCATTGAAGTTTGTAAGGTCGCGGGTGTGACTTAGTCTCCAAATTCATTTTTGAAACCAACCGTGAACTAGCCACATTAGTGCAACTCCCACCATCAATGATCAAAGAGCACAACTTCCCTTGAATGAGGCACCTTGCATGAAAAATATTTTCTCTTTGACAATCATCCAATTCAACTGATTGACTACCCAACATCCTTCTAATCATGAACAAATCTCCTTCTAACTCTCTTTCATCTTCATGCTCATTTTCATCACTAGATGGAGAATCTGAAGAAGATTCACTAATTATTTCTCCATCCTCCTTAAGTAACATAGTCTTCTTAGTAGGACATTGAGAAGCTATGTGACCTCTTCCCAAACATTTGAAGCACTTAACCTCACTACTCCTTGTTTTCTTAAGTGCCTCATCAGACTTATTTTGATTTCTATGAGCTATAACATTGGAATTGCTTGTTGATGATCCACCCTCCTTCTTATTTTTGTCCTTCCAACTAGGAGAGTGAAAATTAGATGAACTCCTCCTCATGACACCCTTTCTCTTCAATTGTTGTT